CCCCGTGTCCCCTTTTTTGCTGCTGAAAATATGGTAACCCTCGGTGATTTTTCTGAAAGATCTGTTTTGTTCCTGTTGGTCGTGAATGGGAAAGAAGTATATGTATATGAAAAGAACAGAGTTATTATAATTTTTGCATGTTTTAATTATCTTCAGTATATAGTATACATATATATCAAATCAATTAAGATATTTTTGTTGGAGAAAAAATGGCAAGTTTATATTGGACTTGGGGATTTATCAAGCAGGGTAGAAAGAAGCTTTACTTGTATATTCATTGTACATTTTGCAGAAGCCAGAAAAGGCTACATTTTTTCTTATGCTTTGAACACATCAATTGCCTTTTCATTAGTCAGTTAATAAATATTTTACTTGGAATTGTGATTAATGTAAACTTTTGGGGTTTTTCTTAGTTTTATGTAGTGTATGTGTGTGTGTTCTACATCAATGTTCTCTTGAAATAAATCATTCTGAAAATGTTAAAGTATTAACATGTAAGATGTAGGAAATTAACAACATTTTTTTTAATGATTACTTCAGCACCTAGCACTGATTCCTTGAACAGCAGTAAGAGTCCTCATCTGGGAAACAGTTTTTTACCTGACAATTCCCTTCCTGTATTAAATCAGGTAATTTAAAAAAAAATTGTTGTGTTTTCTAGACTTGTTATAAATTAACTTTATCTTTGAATTCTGGTGCTGTTTTTGTCTTTGAAATTCTATGCCACTGAGGGGCTTTTTGTTTGTTTTTACATTAGGAGATAACCTCCAGCGGACAAAGCACCAGCAGTTCATCAGCCCTTTCCACTCCACCACCTGCTGGGCAAAGTCCAGCTCAGCAAGCCTCAGGAGTCACAGGAGTTCAACAGGTCAATGGTGTGACGGTGGGGGCACTAGCTAGTGGTATGCAGACTGTAACATCCACCATTCCTGCAGTGCCTGGTGTGGGTGGAATAATTGGAGCTTTGCCAGGTAACCAGCTGGCAATCAATGGAATTGTAGGGGCTTTAAATGGGGTAATTCAGACCCCTGCCACAATTGCTCAGAACCCCTCTCCTCTCACTCATGCAACTGTGCCACCTAACGTAGCGCATCCTCTGCCAACAACACTCAATAACAGGTAAGAATTTTACTTAAATACAATTTCTGTTTCTTACTGATGATGTATACTGTGTTGCAGTATTAACTTACTTTTAAACATTAAGTTACTTTATTTAGTGTTTGGTTTAGCTGGTGTTTTTTCTGAATTGATTCCTGTGGAGTTCTATATAAGACGTGCTACAAGTGGAAAAAATTAATTACAGCATGCCCATAGATGATAATGTTTTAAAATTGGTAGTATTTATTTAAAATGAAACAGTTCTGCCATCCAAGTTTTCAGGCTTTATTGAGAATATCGGCAAAGGTCCATCTGTTTCTTAAATTTATTTTTGCTTCTACATGTCCTTCGGTCATTTTCATTAATGCATTGGAATGGACCTGAATAGGTCACTCGCAAGAAATAGCCGTGGTTCCGTTGTACTGTTATTTCAGTAGTTGTAAAGCAACATTAATAATACTCGGTAGTTTTGGAGTGATGTTGTAGCTATGATGGTCCAGGAAATATGCAAGAGACAAGGATTTTTGTGCATGACATCTTTTATTGAACCAACTGCATGGTTGGAATAGACTAAAACAAGCTTTAGAATGCAATGCATCTTTCTTCCGGTTTCTGCATTATACATTATATGTATAAAAGTTGCATTACACTGAAGAATATTTAGTTTACAAAATCATACACTCAACATTGGGAAAGAACAAATGTATAGTTGTGCATACAATCTTAATTTGCCCCCCTTTATACATCTACCCTGTACATTAAATGAGGCAGAGATCTTGTGGAAAATGGCAAGTAGTCATGAGAAGACTGCACTATAATGCAGCAGCATTAAGGTTGCAAGGACAACCATATAAATCTTTAATTTACCAACTTCTAAGTGCTTGAAGTTCTTTTAAAATAAGGTTATATATATCGTAAGGGTTTTTAAATGGGTTGGAGGCCGATGTGGGGAGCAGACAAGCAGTGAATTCTATAGCAAACCCTCCCCCCACCCTTTCATAAAAAAGCCTCCCTCAAAAAACATCAAGAATAGCCCAGACTGCTACCACTTGGGCTATAGAACTAGTTACATTAGTTGCCAGTACTGGACAGCTGTTAACCCAGATGGAGGTGGGGGAAAATTGGAGAAATTGCAGACAGAACTGAGCCTGGTTCAGCTGATTCTCTCTTACTGTCCCTTTACTATGGAATTGTGGGAGCTCCAACCCAAAAAGGGTGCCCTCAAAAAGACTTTTGGCTTTGGGAGGGAAGCCAAGCTCTGTCATCTTCACACCCACATTCCTAGCCCTGCTCTGACAGCTCCTAAATATTCCCAGTAAATGTCATTGCTGCCTATGGTTGCTGCAGTGAGGGATATAAGCCCAGCATGTGTGTGTGCTTTTGTAGTCCATTATTATTTTGACATATAATATATTCTCAGGAACAACAATAAGAGAAGAGCTATAGCTATTTTTAACCATCTGTATTCCATAAAAATTTAATAAAATTTTGTGGGACAAAGGAAAGACATTTTCTTAGTTCAGGAGCATGCCCCTTATTGAATATCAAAGGTCTGCTGAGAGCTTCCCAAAGAAAATGATCCTTTCATGGGATTTGTTAAATAATCTAAATACAGAGATTCTTACCAGCTTCCTCTGTAATGATCCCCACTCTACCCCAAATATACAGATGGTGTCAAAATGTTTCTATGTTTTCCTCTACAGGAGGGGCATTAAACGTATACAGTCTGCAGGCCAGATCCAGCCCTCGGAGCTGGGTCATCCAGCCCACAGACTTTTTCCTCAACTCTGGCTGCAATGGGGGACTTTCCTGCAGTGGCAGCCCTGAGCGAGATCCACAGTGCTGGAGCCCCAGCAGCACCATGGTTTGTTTCTGCGGCTGTAGCCAAGTTGTTGGTTGAGGGTCATGGTGCTGGAGCCCCATCAGCCCTGCAGGATGAAGTCTGGCACTGTCGTGGCAGCCAGCAGCAGCCAAGAGTCTGCAGTATCAGGCTTTTTCCTGTGGTGCTGCTGGGGTTCCAGAACTACACTTCTCACCGGGCATGTGTTTGCCGCTGTGGGTAGAAACTGTGGTGCTGTTGGTTCCAGTGCTGTAGCTCTTGCCTGGGGCTTGTCTGCCACCACAGGGTATAGCAGCATCTTTTACTGGCAAGGCTGCCAAGGACCCAGGTGAGAGCAGTGGCACTGGAGCCCTAGTAGCACTGTAGGAAAGAAGCCCAATGCAGTGGCTTGTTCCTGTGGCAGCAGCCAGAATGCGGGGCCTCTTCCCATTGGGTCCTGGCGTGGGTGCCACATGCACTGAATCTGACATGGGGAAGAAAGAGGACATGGGCCTGATCTGGCCTGCCAGACTGGCCCCATGCCATTCATTCAGCCTGTAGACTGGTCCTGTACCACTAATCTGGCCTGCAGGACCAGACAAGTTTGATACCTCTTCTATACATCTTTTTAAGGATCTTGCCATTTTAATTCTGACTGTTTGGCTGCAAAAACTCATTTGTTCTTTCCCCATATCTTACCTTAAATACTGTAACCTACTCCTCTGTGGTCTAATACACACATCACCCATTAAAGTGCATTCAGAATTCTATTTCACAAATCATTTTCCTTGCCCACCCACCTAACCACTTCCTAATATCCAACCTAAATTTTTCCTTGCTGTGGTTTGAGACCATTGCTTCTAATCCTGTTGCCTACAGGCACAGAGAATTATCTGTCTCCATCCTCTCTATAATCAAATATTTGAAGACTGTTGTCAAATCCTGTTGTCAAGTTAGTCTTCTCTCCTCCAGACTAAATAATTTTAGTCCTTTCAGCCTTTTCACATTTAAGTCATGTCTCCCAGACTTCTAATCACTTAATTGGTTATTACATGCTTTTGTTTATCTTATGCTTCTGGGCTTTGCTGGTCTTCACATGGGGCTGTAAGGAATTTTTTCCATCCTTTTACTACACGTATCAAGTTTTTTTGCCTGCCTTAGAAGCATTTAGTGTTGGCTGCAGCCAGTTCTGGGGATTTTCACATGGATGTGGTAGTGTTTCTGCTGGGACTTAAAACCTGGAGGTTCCTGGATTAAGGCCCTTGCTCCTCCTCCACACAGACCTATCATCACATTTGAGATCAGGAGGGAATTTTACCTCAATGTTAGATGGGTATTGATTTGCAGAGTTTTTGCCTTCCTCTGCAGTATGCCCATACCCTTGGGTATTGGCCTCCTCCTTAACTCTCTTGCTGGGCCTAATAGTTGTACCAGAAAGTTGTTTGTGAAGTTTTTAAGAATAGCTTAGAGAAACACTTGTCAAGGATGATTTGATAGGGATTCTGCCTTAGGCAGGGGGTTGGACTAGATGACCTCATGAGGTCACTTCCAGCCTTAGTTTTTTGTGATTCAATGAATCATTTTTGTTGATTTCTGCTGGACTCTTTCCAATCTTTTCTTCTCTTTCTTGAAGTGCAGGACATAGTACTCCAGGTGAAGCACTACCGGGGTGGCACTCCTGTTAATACAGTCCAGGATGCTATTGTCTTTTTTTTTTTTTTTTTTTT